GGGGGGGGGGAAGATTTGGAAAAGCGTTGGAACGATTGTATCACCCAAAAAGGTGATTAACAAAAGGTGTTATGTTGATGAATAAAAAAAAATTTTGCAAAAAAAATGTTGTTTTCAATGTTAGTCTCGGGAGTTATTGATTGATGTGTTAATTTTACGCACCGTGAACTATTAATATAATTTTTCTTTAAAGTTGAGGTATCCGCTTACCTTCGAAGAGGATTTTTTTATATAATTGAAAAAAATAACTTTTTATATACATTATACTATAAGATATTGTTAAAAACTTAAAATGCAACGTTAAATTTGCATAAATTAAAAATTGTCTTAATATTTTAGCTCAAAATATACATAAAAATCGCAGTAAAATGGCCTTGTGCAAAACACCAAAACTGAAATTTAAATAGAGATATTTCAATTTCTGTAAATTTTATTATGATGAATTGAATCTTATTTAGGATTTGTGCCTCTGTCACAATTATAACCCTGAAAATTAAATATTTATAGGAAGTCGTACTTTAACATACAGAAAAACCGTACGAATTTTTGATAAGTTATGACTTTTATCATCAATAAAATGCAAAGTAATCTCATTATAATAATAAGAGAGAAGTTCAAGTCCTGAATTCACTTTCATAGAGTATTCCATGAAAGTTTCATAACATTATATACATAACTTTTTTCAATACCATGTTTTGCGCTGAAGCAAAATACGAAAATTTTGATTTTGAGAAAAAGCTGAAAATTCATTTCAACCCAGAAACTTACCTAATCAAATAAATATTTAACATTAAAAGGCCCCTGATTTGTAAAGTTCACTATCTGTATTACTTAAATAAGTTATCTTTTTCTTCCTGATGGCCTTTAAATCTTTCATACGCTTACATTTAACAGGTGTTGTATAACGCTTCAATTCCCTGATTCGATTGTAATGCAACTTTTTGTATCCCGTTACAGTGAAGTTGCCCGGATTTTCAATGTTCAGCTTATTTAAGACTTTTAACAGCCTTGATGTCCTTCGTTAAATTGTATAATTGCATCATATGCACCCAATATCACAGTTTTCAAACAAATAAAAACTTCCTCTGGTACTCTTTATCATATTACACCATAAAAAGATTCATTTGCATTTTGGGTCTTAGGAAATTCATCTTGCATGTTGGAAGATATTTTGATGGCGATATTACGTAAAATATCAATGAAAAACAAACATTAATGTTACATTTCCGGTAGCAGAATGCTACTTCTAGTTCTAAAATTTGACGCAGACTATTATTAAAATGCTTATAACTGAGTTCTGTGCAAGATAGAAACAAAATTGAAACTGTTCTAGAAAGCTAAGAAATCTGGTTTCAATAATAGACCGTAAATAAAAAAAAAAATCGACTTTTTGAACAAAAATCGCGTTTTAAAGTAGGCGGATACCTTAAATACTCTTATAAAATTATAATCACACATAGTTTTATTTTTTTTATCATCATTAAATACAATAACTTAATATAGCAACACATTACAAATATTTATTTAAATATAATAAATGATTTGAAGGTTGTTTAATTACAACAAAATTCTTAAAGTATATTTAAATATTATACATGTTAGAGAGAAATTGGTTTTTACTCGTTTAAAATAAACTTCAGCACTATTGGCTCCAATAACTTAATTGCTAGACAGAGCGCCAAAGAAATCGGTTCGTAATTTTAATCGCTGAGAAAGATAAAAATGTTTTTTTGCACAAATGTATGGTTTTGGAAATTGAAACATAACTTTTATACAACGAATATTCTAATTTAAATTTTTCACATTTTTCATATAATTAATATTTTAATGCAACTTAGTTCGATACAAGTTCCTATACAGTTTATACTTTGAAGATATCTGTTTTTGTATTTTTTAGAAATTTTGGTTTCATAGCGTGTAAAGATACTTCTGAATCTGCATATGTATATATATTTGAATGTAGTGTTTGCGAAATTGTGTTGTAAGGGCTTCGAATTCTGTTCTTTTAGAACAATTTCGATAGAAAGTATTCGATAGAAATATTTTATTCTCTTTATGTCTGTGGCGAACTTATTCGCGAAAAGTTATAAATTTTTGAATCAGCTGCAGTGGGAATACTTAAAATCACTCACGTTCCCCTCAGGGTATTGGCACATATGAGAATCTTTGACACACTATTTTTAATTTTTCGTGTTCTAAACTGCTATCCGATTGAAAATCTTTAATAAGATTGGGCTATTATTTGTGTTAAACCAGTTTCTTGCTTTGAACTTTCTCAAGTTCAAATATAAAGATTTGAATATATAAAAAAAGTTTCTTAAAATTCTGAGTATTTTGGTTGTGTTTCCCGAGTATCGAAAGTTTATAGTATTATTAGATAGACTTAAAGAACTTGAAGGGGTAATAAGGTGGGCAAGCATATATCACATTTTAAATGACTCAGATCAATAGATGCGAATGATCCAGGACAGTGTGATAATTGGAAAACATAAAAAAAAAATTATTTATCATATTAAATGTAATAATCTGGATAAACGCTATTCAAATAGACCAAAAGTCAGAAATGAAATTAGTTTAAATATTTACAAAAATGATAACTAATGGATTACTGTAGGGACACAGCTCACATTAGAAAATTATCGTACTTGTATGGAGCATCGTGAGAAGTAATAATTGTCGAGTAATCTGTAAACATCAGTGCAAGCAAGATTCCAACATCCAGAAAGCGGCCACAGAGTACTCTGGTTAGTTGCGTTGCGATAACGAGTAATCTGTTGGTTAGAAATTCATCGTTCTAACTCATCCAGGATGCACTCAGCAGGTCCCGGCCGTTGACGGAGGACAGATCCAAGAGGGAATTCACGTTGGATAGTTGGCGGTGGATAGTATTCGGATCGCCAAAGCAAAATCTCGTTTTCTTCTTCTTCCGTGTTCTTCCGATAGATGTACGGGTGCCACACAATGTCACCAATTCCACAGATGCGCACGCAGAACTATCGTAATTTACATATCTGTACATGTAGAAACAAGTTGTTCTAATGTGCCGCCTCTTGGGAAAATGAGAATGTACAAGCGGATCGAAGAGGCAGTCACAGAGTGAACTTCAAATATTTTTGGATTAATTAAAACTGAAAAATTTACGTGTTTGTCACAATCCGTTACATCACCATTTTCATCTAATTTCATGTTGTACTTTTTAAAATTAAAAAAAAAAATCTGACCTTATGAAAAACTTCAATTTTTTTTTCTGAATTATCACCAATTTTAATTCAAAGGAACAGTACGAAATCATACCAGTTTCTCGATAAATATTTCGACGTTTTTTAACGAGAAAATACAAAAAAATATATATATAAGAATAATTTTAGAAATAATTTGCTATCAATATGACAGTTATTTAAGAGTATATTATCTATTTTCAAACTACTGCTGAAGTGATATTATAACAGGCGGTATGTAAAGGGTGAGACTTCTTCCCTAATGAGCACCGATAGTTTGTTGTGCCAGCTTGAAACCCATAGTCGAGAAGAATCAAAGTGGTTCGGAATCACCTTCTGGGTGTGGACAGATTGGAAAATTTACGTTTTTTGATGGGTTAATATTTTTTTGTACTCCACTACAGTTTAAAAAAGATAAAAGATTTTCCCCCTTGTATTTCGGTCTCAGAAGTTATCCTACACATTTGATGCATTAATATAAAGTGAATGGGAAGTCCTATTAATTCATTTCAATAACACTTTTTCGTAGGGGTAGCAAAAAGTTTATGGAATAAGATTTTACTTTCAGTACTTTACCATCATTCTAAAGGCATTAAAAATAAATTTTGCCTCATTATTTTGATTTTTTTTCCTATTGGGATTGTGCTTCTGCTTGAAAAATACATTTCACTATTCTTTATTCGATATTCATTTTGATGAAAACTATCATTGTACATTCTTTCGGTAAAATATTTTTTAAAAACTAAATTGTAATTAAAGAAGGAAAATACTCGAAATTTCACAGATTTGTATTGAATATTCTATATATTTTACACCAAGAACACTTAAAAAATGCGATTTCATTTCACTTTCTTTGTCGGGAGTGGACATGTCCATATTCAATAAACACTTTTTTCCAAATTTTTCACTAAAGAAGGATTAGTGAATTTTTGACTAATAAAGGATTAGTGAAACCGTATGTTTCTCAGTATCTGAGATTCAAGAGAAAGTTTCATTTAAAACAATAAATAAATAAAACACAAGTGTAACAACATGGAGAATCGTAGCATTTTGGAAATCGGATTTTTTAGTGCTACAGCATGTTGTGACGTTGAGCTATTCTCGGGTTTTTCTTCACTTACCTTGGGGACTTTAATTGAGATTGATTGCTGGAAATTACAATCTGTTCCCATCCAAAATGAAACGTGATTATGTTAATTAGATGAAGGTAAAAATAAAGTGAAATTGTTTAGATAGGAAAATATATAAGCAAAGTGAAATTAAGACGAAAGAGGTCGAGTGACACTGTTATATGCCTCACGGGTGGTAGAGGAGACCAAGAGTTGATACGGACGATAGTGATGGTAGAGAAGTCAAGAATCATATTAACTTCAACTGTGAAGGTTTCGGTAAGACACTCTTAATTCAGAATTAGTTGAATGGGTGAATCTATCTAGGGTGTTATCTTGGAGAGCAAATATTCCTTAGACATTATATTACAAAGTTGATGAATAAGTAGTTGTGTGAGACTTGACTGATGTACCCTTGCGTAGGTTATTGACTTTTAGTGTTAGTTGTATTTGACTGAGTTATGGCACAAGAGTCGAATAGGAATACATATTCGCCATAATGTTTATGCATATTTTACGCATCACTATCACGGGACGTGATCAACCACTATTTTCAAACGATGGTAGAAGTATAGTAATAAACGATAACTAATAAATATTGCTCTCTGACCAGATGAGCATCAGTGGTCCGGTGTGCGGACTTCAAACCCGTAGCTGAAGAAAATTAGAGTGGTTCGATTCCATCTTCTGGGCGTGGACAGGTCGAAAAGTAATTTTTTAATGGGTTCACTTTATAGGAACCATTACTATGTTTTCAAAATAAAAATAAATATTTTTTTCGACATGAATAATAATAAAAAATTACTGATATTTTTTATGTTCAGTTTTTGAATACCACCAGAACAGACACTATTTAACTCGAAAAACTCATTCAAATGTAGTTCGTCTTCTCAAAAGCATTACAAGCAAAGTTTTAAAGTAATACAAAGTAGAAATGTGTTTATGTATATGAGTAGGCAACGTTATACATGTGTAAAATTTTCCGAATATATTTGATGAAACAAATATTAAATGCGTAGTACGTTTAAGTCACAAAACAACTTGCATTTTCTTGAATACCTGTACTTGTTTCTCCTAAGACAACGCTGGACACTATATTGCTGGATTGGCGACCAACATCGTAATTTTGAATCTCGGTCAAGCGACGAAGATAACATCTGTGCTGGCACCTTTCTCTCCAAACTTCCACACCACGACAAAAGGAGGGCTTGGGACCTCGACCAGATTTAACTTGCATCGGCTCTTCTACGAGACAAGTTCTAGTTGTTTCAGGAATTCCGCTCAAAACTCGGAGGAAACAGCGGCCGCGAGTCCGTGACCACTGTAGAGAAATGGAAGAATAATCATTTTGAAACTCATTACCTTATATTTCGTTGAATTATATGGTTTTCTGCTTCTTAGTATCCCTTTTTTTCTTCTTTTAGTACTAAAATGGTTTCTAATGATAAGAACAAAACTGATTTAGTGGTTTGCAATTGTTAATTAAATTTCTTGCTGTGTTTTTAGAGTTAACTTCAAATATTTTTGATTGAATTCAAAACAAAAAATTTTTTATACATATATTGAGGATATCAATTTCCGTTATAAAACTATTTGCATTTAATTTCTTGTACTTTTTAAAATATAAAAAAAGTTCCTATGTATAGGGAAAATCTTTAAATTTTCAAAGAGTTCTCGCCTATTTCAATGCAGAACAGTAAGAATTCATGTTGATTTCTCGATAAATATTCCTTTTTTACAAGAAAGCAAAAATTTATGAATTACTCTTGTAAATAATTGGTACTGAAAATGAATATAGTGATATGGTTATTTATAAGTATATTATGCTCCATTACCTTCTAACTAATAATGCAGAGACATTATAAAAGGCGGCTGGTAAATTGCGAATTCAGCCAAATGAACATGGATGGTCCTTCGTACGGACTACAAACCCGTAGCTGAAGGGAGTCGAAATAAATGGATTCAAATTCCTGGATGCGACAAATTAGAAAATGCATTTTTTTTTTTATTTTTGGTATTAATTTCTACAGTTTCTTAAGTAAAAACGTCAATTTCTCCTAATATCACGGTCTTTCAGAAATACACCGTAATTTCTACTCAGCATTACTTATCGTCTTAAAATGAAAGGTTTGAGGTCAAAACTCAAGAAGAAAAGTCGAATCTACGCAGAACGAATATACATTTATTAAATTTACTAGACAACGCCACGTAACAGACTGAGCCGAAGAGAATTTACTAAAAAGCTCTCTTCTCACCTTCCCACCATGCACTGCGCCGACTCCGTTAATCACTTTACATTAGACATTTTGGTAGGCTTGCTAACAGGCAAAAGAAATTATATACAGCGAGAGGCCTCTCATTTCTGATATCCTCCCACCTAGTGTTTAATGTAGGTAAAATCAATAACTAATCACACAAACATTAAATATGTTCAATTGAATCGATACATAATATAATAAGCACTAAACTAACAGTTATTAATTCAAATATAATAAATTTCAAAATGTTCATTCATGATACAATCTCTCAGGAACAGTCACTTTGTAAATCTCTAAATGAAACAGTCTCTGTATTAGTCGTAACAGTTCACAAAACTGAATCTTTATGCATGTTACTCTGTTTCGGCCGTCTTTTCCAGGAATCAGTTCCAATACTCGAGCCAATGGCCAGTAAGTACCTTTCTTACTGTCACTCTCTAAGAGCACAATTTCACCAAAAGCCTGGATTTTCACTCACACTCGATGCAAAATCCTTTGTTGCAACTGACCAAGATATTCTACTCGGAATCTTTCGCGAAGATGGCTTCTCACCTGCTGCCTGTGTTTGATTCTCTTATTCATCTCTTGAATGTCAATCGTGTCCATGTCTTCAACATCGGAAGACCTTGTTTCCAGTAAGAACATAATCGGTGAATGGGGTCAAACTGTCTATGTCTTGTGTTACATGTGTGTTACATGTGGGTCTCGTATTCATTATCCGTTCACAATTGCAAAGTGTGATAAGTTCTTCATAAATTAGTGAGGCTACTCCCAGAACATTTTTCAAAATTCTTTTCAACATTTGGATCAACCGCTCCCATCAACCTATTAACCCCAATAATAGGAGGAGGTTAATAGGACCTCCCAAGCTCCTATTAACGATTTTTATCTCATTCCCGATTTCAAAGGAAGTAATTTCTAAACTAGTAACTCTAATATCAAAATTATTTAGTCCAGATCGCCATGGACCCTTCGGTACTCTTCTCACATCTGAACATAAAAAAAAAGCTCATTCAAACAAAAAAAATTGACAATAATATTCATTATTAACACTACTTAAATTTACTTTACATGAGTTATGTACTTTTTCTTTTCTCACCCCCCCCCCTAAATAACTTATAAATTAATTTCGATTCACCATAACTATCATATCTTAAATATTTCATAATATCTTCCATTATATAAGATTTTTCTGACTACGAATTATTGGCTTTGTTATTTTGGCAAAGAATTGCTAAATGCCTTCCATTGCAAATAATACATTTAACTTTAGCCCTTCACTAACGAGAAATATGATTACGCCTTAAGCAAACAAAGCCTGCTTCCTATTTTAGTACAATATTCTTTTTCTCTTTATAAGAGAGAGAACAAACTTTAAAACATTTCTCAAATGAATGCAATTCATCACAAAAGGTACAATATTCCTCGTTATTTCTTAGCAAATGATTTATCTTTGGAATTATTACCAACAATCAAATCATTTACAGTAGCTACATTAAATTCATCAGATCTAATATCTTTAAAACGTTTCTTTGCCCTATCAGAACCGGGGCCGCGGTAGCCTAATGGTCAAGGTCTAGCGGCCGGCGGTTTTCGTTCAGTCGCGGGTTCGATCCATGGCCGCCAAAGACCCGCCGTGAAGCCGGGACTGATGCACGTTAAATCTGTTCGGGGTCCAAAGTCCTCCCGTTGGCGTGGTGTGGATGTTAGGAGAGGGGGTGCCAGCTCAGGTGTCGTCCTCGTGACTTGACCGTGGTTCAAAATTACGAGGTCCGTCGCCAATAGCCCTCATGTCGCTTCTAGTGCGACGTTAATAAAAAAAAAACTAAACTAAACTATCAGAACCAAAGCAAGTACTAGCTAACATGACTCGTTCTTCAGACAATACTTCATTTTTCAAAAATTCAAGAATAGTAAAGATACAATGACTCATTCTTACCTGAATTCAACTTATCCAGCTCCCTTTCCCAAATCCGCTAAATATCATAAGGAAGGCATGATTCGACGAGCGAAAATAAAATTCTGTCATATTTATCTTGTGACTCCGAGAAATTCAAGCGAACGTAGTTTTGTTTTTAAGCTATCGTAGAGCGATGATATATTAAGGCTGTTGTTATTGTTTAAAACCCCAACTGCAAAAGATTTCTAACATAAACTTAAATTAAAATAACCGATCGACCGAATCTGTTTTTCTAATGCTCTATTGCTTTAGAATAGTTATTCGCAGTTGTAGGAAAAATTTCAACTATATACCGAGATTTCGATTTTGGAACCGTTGCTTGGATTAAATACGCGAATTTAATCATCTAATTTCGGGTCTTCATGTATTCTTACAAAAATATTCGAAAAGCTGAGCCATTGATAAGGATTTCCATCAAATTCCTTTAAAGATAATTCTGATAATCTCATTGTCTGTTTAACTTTATAATTCTCGGTTATCACGATTTCTGGTATTTAAACTTCCGATTGTGACATAATCCTCTTCACTTTGGTTTTGAAACTTATAAATCTGTCAACGTAAGTTTCACAAGCCTCAAATTATTTGTTATACATATCCTGCCAAACACCGTCCTCTAACAATTGATTAAGAATATGATTATCAACTTCATGAATCCTCTTTAATTTATCTTCTAATTCACCTAGTATAATGACTCTAATACATCCACATTCGTTTCACTACTTTCCAAGTTCCGTGTTAAGGGATGTGAAAACTCGAATGCAGTTCTATGTGGTGTTCGTCTATTCTTTAAAATCTGCATGGCAGAATTGAAACGTAAATTTTCGCCCTATCACTCTATTATTCCTCGAATCTCTGTTCGGGCGCCAGTAAATTTCACAAATATGACCGTATTAATTGCTACTCCATATTACTCATCGTCCTAAAACGAAGGGTTCGAGATCAAAACTCAGGAAAAAAGGCGAATCCACAAAAAACATACATTTATTGACTTTACAGAAGAGAACTTACACGGTAACGGAAACGGCTAAAATTACGAGGTTCCTATATAATAAAATAAATTTACCCTCTCATCAGAATTTGTAAAAGAAATGAAATCATAATTAATTAAAAATTTTATAATTAGAATTAGCTATCAAAAATAGGATCAAGGCAACAAAAGCCTGGGTATTCGAGAGAAAGAGAACTTGCAAAACGCTCTCTTCTCGCCTTCCCAGCATACACTGCGCCGCCACCGTTAATCACTTAACATTAGACATTCTGGCGGGAATGCTAACAGGCAAAAGAAATTCATACAGTGAGAGGTCTCAATTTTAATAACGTCTTAGGAATTATGATATACTTATAATGCATTAATATCAACTGTAAAATAAACTTTATGAATTCATTTCAGTAACAAATTTTCAATACAATATATTACTTTTCCCACTATTTCAGTAACATTTAAAGTAATTTTTGTTGTATTACTTTCATTTCTTT